TCATCGAAACGATTTATTATAATATTTTCGTCCTTTTTTTTTGTGTCTAATTGGAAATGAAATCAAAGTAAAACGTTGGATAAAAAGTGCACAAGATTTGATCTATTTGTAGGATAACGTTTTGGTTAATAAAACCTTTAAAATGTTGGAAAACTTCAACTTTGGCTTCATATATTTTCAGGTAATAAAAAATTATAAAAAAAGTCACACAATTATATGTATTTGTAGCACATTAATTTATTCATTCGTTCAAACTAATTTAGGTTTCCATTGCATGTTCTAAGCATGCGGAATTTATCTACTAAACAAGCCCTACAAGTAAGGTTTCGTTTTGGGCAAAACCCATTCCACACAGTGGCCCAAAATCAAGCCCTATTTTCAAGTACAAAACATATTAATGTTTTTCTGTATTTTTGGCTTAAAATATCATCATATCATAACCCTTGGACGGCGTATTTTAGGATTCTTCTAGCAGCTTCATAGGCCAACCAATTACGATGTCTGGGGGTATTTGGGACTGGCCAGCTGACGCACACCAATCTGTTCGGTTCCTCATACTGTTGCTGTTGGCTGGCACACGTGTTCATTTGGCAGGCATGCGCGCGATTTCGGGGCTCAATTGGGATTTGTAAGACGAGCTCCGGCTGTGTATCCTTGTCGGCCTCACACCTCACTTCCCCAGGTTGCGGCAGCTCAAACCCTTTCCAGCGTTCGTTTTTGGGGCTCCGACCGACTGTGTATGGCCATGTCCTTTAAGCGGTTTATCCTGCTGTTGCCGTTTTCTGGTGTCTGCTCTTTCGCTCCTGCACTCGTGCTTATCGGAAGTCAAACAGTAACATTGCAGCGCAGCAGCGGACATGGACCTGAGCTGGGTGCTTCAAACGAAAAAAAAACCAACCGTAAAAGAAACAGCTATACAAAAAAATATAAACTCAACAACCTGAAGGAGGAAGAGGAAAAGGAAGCGGAGGAGCGGACCCAAGCGAGCGTAGGCAATCCAATTTTCGAAGTCAAAAGTGGCACCAGATGACGGCGTGCGCCGCACGTTTGTTCTGAGTCTTAGCCTCAGCCAGAGCGGATACCAGGAGCAGCAGCAGGAGCAGCATATGTTGCACTTTGTCTTGAGTGTGCGGCAGAGTAGAGAGAATATCTATCTATCTCGCTTTGCCCGCTGCATTTTGTCCTTTTTCGCTGGCTTTCACTCGCACGCCACACGGCCTCCGCTTCTCCTTCTCGTCCTGAAGACAACAAATAATAATAATAATGATAATTCCTTATTGTGTGTGCAAAGGCGCGCCAGTTGGCAGATCGCAGGCAGATCCATCCAACTGCTAGATACGTAGATATCCCGTGGCCTACGGGCCCGACATAAGGCACCGCCGCCGCGTCTAGTTACAGTTACCCGAAAGTTGCTCTTCGGTAGCAGTTTTTTGTTGTTTTTTTTTTTTTGGGGAAGCAAACCCACGACGCAATTAAAGCTGCATCAATCAAAATTAAAGACAATCGGGCAGCGATTTTTAAACGCGATCTACACACGTGATAAGAAGACTAAAGGCTCACCGGCGATCTTTATAGAATCATTCCATCCAGAATGTGCCAATGTGTCTCAAGGTGAGAGTTATTATATTCGTATTAATACAATGTTGCTGTCGATGCGTAAATACAAAGCAATGCTTTGTTGGACTGGCATAAATATTGAGAACAAAATTTGTCAAATAAAATAAATTCTCTAGACTAGACCACATATTCACATTCCATTTCATTTGTTCCGGGCTGAAAGCTCGCGAAAGCGTTGCGATAGTTTGGTTCACAATCGATACTGGAACACCTCCAGCGAGAAACACTCATCTCTGGCTGAAGCTTCCCACCCGGGTTCTTATAGGTTCTTTCGCAGAAAGTTATTGCGCAGCAAACACGAACGAAATGCCCATCGACACGGGAGAGTTAATAAAGGCTTTGGCCATTTTGGCTGATCGTCACGATGTTCAAGTGACATTCAAAGAGTCGGCAAAGGGCGCAGCCATTTGTGCTGCTGCCGCATTAATTGGCGGACTTCTTGGTGGCCCCCGTGGACTTGCTCTGGGTGGCGCTATTGGTAGCGTCGCAGCCTACGGCTTGACCGAAGGTGAGTAACGAGTTATGTAACCACTTGTAGAAGGTTTTTCGTAATGAATATTTGTGCAGGAAAATTCAAGTCCTTGGGTGAAATAATTTTGAAGGATTTGACGGAGAGTGAGCGAATCGAACTGAAGGAGCATGTGACCAATGCTGTGGCCAATGTCGGCTATTCGGATGTGACGAATATTGGAGCTCTACTCTTGAGCAATCGACGTGTACAAGATGTGGCATTGAACGTGCTTAAATCATTTGCCACCGAGCAGATGGGACTAACCATCGTCAACTGATCAGCTCTGCAAACGTTTTCCATACAAATAAAAGCATTTACGCGAAAGTTCTTCTAAAATATAATATTGCACAGTGCACTGCATTAGTGACTGATATCCCCATTGATCTTATCTAATTTCTCGCTAAAGTGCACTGTAGACAGTGAATCATCTGACCCTTTCTTATCTTAGCACTCGCTCCCCTCAAGTTATCTCAAATAACTTTTGCGTTCAATCAATATGAAATCATAAATCAACAAAAAGCTCAGCGTTATGGAGAAAATAAAAATCTGATTTGCTTACACTTGCATTTTATTTCTATGTTTGTGGGGTCTCCAATAGAAAAGAGTCTCACGCCAAGGCTTCGTCAGCGACCTGGCAGATCCAACAGATGTTGGAGTATCACACAATTTGTGCAGCAACAGCAGCAGCAGCGGCAGCAGCGATCATCATCATGATCATCAGCAACAACTGTTACAAGCAGTAAAAATAAGATAAAATTCAGAGACTCTTAGGAAAATTGCGCCAAAGAGCCGAAATACAAAAAAGAGTCGTAGACATTGCACTGTAAACAATTGGAAGTGAGTGCTTTGGGTCTGCGCACTCGTTGGTTGTGGAAATTCGGCTCAGTGTGCGAAGGGCAGGTCAAAATAATTTGGCTCACTGCGGAAACAGAGGGACATGGACACGGACTAGGGTAAACTGGAACTGGCAGACAGTTTCAGAGCGACAACCTCTCTTCATCCCTACAAACAGATATCTTTCTATGGCCAGCTGTTGCTCGATTTGTTGGTTGCTTGCTCGTCTGTCCCTCCGTTTGGGCAGGGGTATCATAATCATCGTGTGGCTGCCACGTGTCGTTGGCAAGTCCATTGGGCAATTGGTCAATCGAACAACAATGGCATGACCAATTAGCATGCATGCAACTTTGAAAAGTGAACTTAACTTCAGCCGACTAGCCGCAAAATTATCCCAAAACAATGCAAAAGCATCGAGGCATATGCAGATGCGAGTACCACAAGCAAATGGCTTCGGTTTAGGGTTCATGTAGCAGCTGTAAAATCAATCAAAAAGTTGTCAAATAAATGTCATGAATGCATAAGCAAATTTTGTGAGCAGGATATGGCCTGTGGTCCTGTGGGTGCATAAATTTCCCCTTCTATATTTGCTTATACCCAAAACGTGAATACATTTGCTCAGAGCTATTCACAATTGCCCCGCTCATCGCTGAGCAACTGGCGGATGCCTTGGACCACTGAGTCGCTGCACTGTTGCGCCTGCGCCACTTGCTCCTCCGATAGCTGGCGCGTGCGCACCAGGAGCAGGGATGCGTTGTGCAGAGACTGGGCCATTCCCTGGTTGATCTGCACCATGCCGTTGATGAAGCAATTGTTGCCGCCGGCAAATCCCAGCGGATTGAGTGGAGCCAGCTCCGTCGATTGCCCCAACAGTTGGCAGAGGGACGGCAACTGGGCGATCTGCTGTACGAATCCTTGCAGATTGGTGAGCGACTGCTGTCCCTCCTGCCGGAAGCTGTCGACCAGGCTGCCCAGTCCCAATGTGCAGGCGCTCAACTGATCCGTGATGTTGGCTGTGAGCTCTTCCAGATTCCAGTCAGGATTGCAGCTGGGATTTGCCATCAGCAGCTGGTTGGTCTCATATATGGCATCGCTCAACTGGGCCATGGCATCGGTGGTCAGTACCTCCAAATTGCCTGTAATATCCTGAACTGTGCGCTCCATTTTGGCCTGCAGTTGGTCGGTCGTCTCGTCACTCACATTTATGGCAATCTCCGCGAGATTATTCACCACCATGGTGATGGGTCCATAGTTTGTCGTCTCGCTCTCCGTGTGGGTTTCATTGTGCACCACGGTGTCCGCTTGGATCGACTAAAAGAGTTGTGATTTAATGTTGAGAATTTCATCATTTTGGCCAATACTCACAGACAAACTTAGGAGCAGACAAAGTATTCCAATGGTATTCATTATGATGTTTTCGTTCGTTTGTTTCTGGTTTCTTTGGTTTTCTTGGTATATATAGAGTCGTTCGTATTGGCATCGGCAGTGATAAGGCAGCCAATAATATGACATTTATCATTTGCCTAATGGAAAGATACGCTGGCAGACATACTCGTAAGGTGCTAAACAAAATTGTACGTTACTTGAATATATATTTTTTAGGTATTTAAAGCTTTTTACATTGTGAAGAGAATTCATTAAAGCCGTGTTCGCGTTTCTGTCTTTTATGCTAAAAGTCTCTCAGCTTTAACCAGACACATAGATTTATTTGTGTTTCTTTATTGAAACACTTCCAGTCCAGGAGTGGATAGTAAGTTTTCGAATACTCTGACTCATCTCATCAATGTTTTTGCCATACAATTTATTTGACATTCACATTGGAATCTGCAGTGATAACGTGGGACAAACAACTGAACATTAGCTTAATGAAACATGCTGCCATCGCGTTGTCTTTTTTGGCTAGTGAATAATTGTGTACACTTTGCACTCCATTTTGAAGACAAATCAAAGATGGATTTCTTGTTAAATAAATTATTTCACGTGTGTTAGTTCCGCCCTAGGTGTTTCCTGGCGCATAACTGGAACTAGACCAGAAAACATTCACTTTCACATAGTTGAGAGACCTTCTGCTGCACTTCAAAGATACCCAAAGATACAACGCAACTTTTCGACACATTCTGGAATCAGTTTCAAGATGAATTTGGCACTGGGGACACTGCTGCTGCTCAGCTTTCTTTGGGTAATATTTTGGAATACTAAAAATAAAACATAGATCCAAAATTAAACCCCACAGGTAGAGACTGAGAGCAGACGCACTTGGAGCAAGCAGGGACCGCTCTACGAGTCCACGAAGCAGCTGATAGCCGGGGAAAGCTTTCGGGCCGAGCAGCTCTGGAATGACACGCACCAGGCGATCTATGCGTATGCCGAGCAACTGCAGCAGGCAAAGGACACCCTGGACACGCAGCAGCAGCAAGTTAGCGAGAGGCTGGAAAACTTCTTTGACCACCAAAACACTGTGGAGTGGGGCGCCTGCTTCAAGCAACACGAGCGAGAGGTGGCACGTTTCAATCGGCAACTGATTGACACATACAGCGTCTGCCGTCAGTCTCTGGACACCGTCATGGAGCACTTCGAGCAGGAGGTGGTGCAGGAGGCCAGCTTCCTGAATGTGGCCGCACAAAGGATCGCGGATCTATCGCAGAGCTGTCAGGTGTGGCAGCTGAAGCAATCCAACTTCAACCATGCCGGCGTGCTGCTATGCACTGTGGCCGGCATTGGTGGCATCAATCAGCGCCTGGCCTCCAGTCTGGAGCTATGCTGGGACATTCTGCTGGAGCTGTCGCTGGAGGAGCAGAACACAGCAGGATCCAGTCCCAGTTGCAGCGCCTACTACCTGCTGAAAATGCAATTCGATGAGATCTTTGCGGAAATTAAGTCTTGTGTTAGAGAGTGAGACAATAAACGGAGCAGCAGAGAGCCCTCATTCGCTCTCCATTCATGAAAAGCTTTGGGCAATTTGTTTACTGAACCATTGCCCCTATGGAGGGGGTTATATATAGCACAAGGAGTGAGATAAGATGCGATTAGCAGCGAGTCTCCAATCAGCACTTGAGAAAATCCAATGCTCTATCTTTGATGTTAGTTTACGAGCTACACTCGTTGTTGTGCCGATAGTAGCTGCTCCACAGTTGGGTTTAACCGCTTGGCCGGTTATAATGTTGCCTAAAGTATCTCTGCTCTTGCTGAGCACCTGCGTGCTACTATGTGCCTTTGCGAGTGGCCACCAGGAGCTGGAGAATCTGCTGGCGCAGCAGCAGAAGGATTGGCAGCTCAGCAGCACTGAGCTCGAGGTGCTGCGTCCTCTGTACCGAGAATTCCAAGTCCAATACGACTATCTGTACAGTTTGAAGCTACAGCAAGGGGATGGCAGTGCTCAGAGAGATGGGTTGGCCGAGCCCCAGGTGGATGCCACCTACCGCCAGGCATTCGATGAGCTTCGCAGTCAGTTCGCGGCCCATGTGGATGAGCCGCCGAGGACTGTCTACGACACCTCACTGCCCACGGTGGCGGAGCTGATGGGAGAACCCAGTCCGGACATGACCAAAGAGCAGCTAGCGGAGTTTGAGGATCTGCGAGACATTATGCAGGATGTGATCGACGAGGCCCAGGAGGGCGTCGATGATCTGGTGAGGCGCGCCATCGATCTGGAGGACATTCTGTTGAGCATTAACAAGCCAAAGGTCGTCACGGCTGCGATTGCAGGCCTCTCATTCATGTCCAAGTACTGGGGCATGGTAGAGATGGCCGCGTACTGCGGCTACTCGCATGTGCCGCAGTTCCAGGAGGCCCTGCAGGCCATCAACGATGGCGTCGACTGCTACACCTACACCACGGGCCTGGTGCTGCGCATTCAGCACGAGACGGTGGCCTCCGTGCAGGATATTCGCAAGAGCATCCGTGGCCTGGTGAAGATCTACAAGAAGGTGGCCGCCAAGCAGACGACCATGGGCAGGATCCTCTCGGCCACCATCAACGCTCTGAGTGCCATTCGTCGTGTCCACGACATCATCGCCGTTGGCATCGAGGGCTATGGCAAGCTGAACAACGAGCTGCCCGGCGCAGCCCTCAAGTCAGCCCAGTGTGGCGTGGAGTTTTACAATAGCATTCCACAGATGGTCGAGACGACGCTGAACCTGACCACGTGCATCGTACACATGGATACGGGCAAGCCGAGCTACGAGTTTACTCTGCCAGAGGAGGATCGCTATTGGAACATCGGCGGCGAACCACCAGAAATTCCCTACGAGAAGGATGCTGATGAGGACAATGACGATGATGATGAAGGTGTGGACAATGCGGATGACTATGTGGATCACAGATAGTGGGCAGGTTCGGGCGATAAGCCAATTATGGCTAATCGGCATTCAACTTGAGATTGATAAACGATCGCAAACGATCGATTTGATTAAAATTTAGTGCGAAATGTAGTCCCAGATTGCTTCTTGGTTCAGTGCAGTGGATTAAGTTCATTTGGTAACTGATCATTGATCTTTAATGGTACAAAGATCACGCATTATGATTGCTGACTAGATTTGTGGTCAACCTCTGCAAAATAGTATTTAAATCTATGACTAGATTCTGTTGTTTCTGGACATCTGACTCGTGACTGACTCTGACTAGACGTCGCTCTCCTTGAGCTGGCGCACATATTGCTCGCTCAGCGACTTGTTCAATCCATCGAAATTTACCTCGGGTGGGACAGCCGCCTGGGGCGTGCTCTGTGACTTGTGCACATTCCTGACGGTGGGACTAGGCGGTGGTTTCTCCGCACCATAGGCCAGGGGCAGAGCAATCACGTCGGCCATCAGCGTTTGGCGACAGAGTGCGGAGAGCACGCTGCCACTGGTTGAGGGGGAGGCAGACGACTCTTTCTGCTTCCTGCCGCCACGTCGCAGCTTGGAGGTGAGTGTGGCAAAGCCAAGCTTGCTGGAGATCTTTGCACTCCGACTGACGGAGCGCGGCAGACTGTCGTAGGCACTGGAGTTGCCGGCACTCTCCTGATCGGTGGATGCATCCTGATTGTACTTCTGATGCTGCTCCACATCTCCTGCAGCTGCTTCAGCTCCTCCTCGAATGCTGCCAGCACTGATGCTCTTATGCAGCGACGACGTAGCATCTCCTCTGGCCGTGGGTGTGAGCGGCTCCTGCCGTGGCGTTACTGGAGCACTTTGCAGGAACTGCGCCTTTGCCAGCTGCAGGCGAATGGCTCGCTCCGAGAGGGGCGTGGCCGGACGCTCGGGCAGCACAAGCTGTGGTGGCGGGAACTCAAAGTGCTTGGCCTTGGTGGGGGTCAGCGAAGGGGTGGTCTTGCCCTCCAGCTTGCGCTGGATGCGGGGCTGCGTATTGTCTTCCCGGTTGGGCAGCGTCAGTGGCGGATGAACCTTGGAGAAGGTCGAGCCGGAGCTGGTCTTGGCGATCTTGTGCTCAATGTTGTTGCTGACGGTGGCGCTGTGCGACTTGTGCAGCGAATTCTTCTTGTAGAGATGCGCCTTTCGTGGCGGCACGGGCGGATTGGCCAGCTCCACTGGCAGCCGCCTGGCCGGCCGCTGAGCCAGCCTCTGAATGCTGTCACTGGCCAGCGGTGGGCGGACCACGAGTACTGCCTGTCGCACGCCCTCGCTGCTCTGGCACCTGCGCAGCAGTTCCACTTTGGGTCGGAGTGGCGAAAGGCGCTCCAGGCTGATGGATTTGTACAGATTGAGTGGCCGTGGCTGGTTCTTGACTCTCTCCGACTTCTCGGGCTTCTCCTCGACGCTGTGCGTGGGGCTGTCCAGCTCCTTTTCGATGAGCGCAATGCCCTCGGAGGCACTCGGCTCCACAATGGTCGTGAAGATCTTTCGCTTGGTCTTCACAAAGACATTCGCGTTATATGTACGGGCATGGGGCTCCGGTAGCGGAGGTGGCACAAATCCACCCAGCTTTAAGGGTGGAACTGCAGCAGCAGGAGGAACTGGAGGTGGAGCAGTTGCGGGGGTAATGCATTGACTCTGTTCAATAAGCTCCCCAGGTTTCACCTTGAGCGAGCCATAGATAACATCCTCGGTGGCATCTGCCTCATTCGGAGCAGTAGCCGTGAAGGAACTCAGCCGGAAATCATCGTCCAAGGAGCGCTGCTTCACCCGAAAGTTCTTGCGGCGCAAGCGACGCGGTGTCTCCAGTACGCTGTGCGTATCCGCATCGCTGCTGTCGCTCTCCGTCTTGCTGTTCTGCCGTGAACCCATCTTGCGCAGGCGCACCACCTTCTTCTTGATGGCATTTGCAGGGGCATTGGCACTGACGCTGGCACTGGCCGTGGCCGTGTTGGAGCGACATAGAGTGCCTGTTGTGGTGCTGGTCTCTGTCTCGTGCTCCATGGGCGAGGCCGCACTGTGATCCGTGAGAGCCAATTGATCTCGGCTGGAATTGTCGCAGGTGGCATACGCGGAGCTGCTCTCCAGCTGCTGACCATCCTCGCTGGTGATGTTGATGTCCGGCACAATGTCCCGAGGATAACGATTTGTGCCGCCCTCTGGAAAGCAAGAACAAAAAGTTAACTCGAAATGTTGCAGACAAATGAATCAAAGTTTAGGCCTACGTATGCTCAGCTTGAGGCACTGCAGTGACTCGAGCAGCCCCTGCAACTCCTCCTGGTATTCCTGTGTCCGCTCTTCCATTGTCTCCTGACAGCAAGCCTCATCCAGTGGCGACTTTTGGCTCTGCAACATCGAAACACATTCAACTGGTTAACTGCACAGAAACTTCTGCTGCACTTACCAGCTCCGCCAGGCGTCCCAGTTCGCTCTGAACATCGGATATGGCATTCAGCACTGTGGCCTTCATCAGGTTATTGGAGTAGTACGGATAAATGCTGCGAATGCTCAGCAAAGCGGCCTGGCACTCCCGCATCGAGCTGTGCTCCAGCAGGTCCGGCGAGGCATTCTTTAGGTGGCCAAACAGCTCATCGGCACGTTTCACTGCACCGAGCAGGGGGGCCAGATTCGTGTGCGACTCGAAGCTCTGCACGCGTCGAGAGTTGCTGAAAGACAAAAGAAAACCCTAAGAGATGGGAGTACTTGTAGGGTTTTTGGCTGCCACCTACACATAGTCATTGCACTGCACTTCCTCATATTTGTAGATCGGAGTCTGTTGCTCCACCAGCGTGTGGGCGGTGACCAGCGGCGAGGCAGTGTCATGAATGTGCTCCTCCACCTCCACCATTACCGCCTCGGGCTCCTCGTACCGCTTGCACTCGTGATCAGTGAGTGCATCGGTGCTGTCCTCGATCTCCTTCATGTGATCGTTGACATCATTCAGCGACAGCGATGAAGCCTGCTGCGAGATGGCCTGCCCTTGGTTGCAATTCGGCGACACGCTGTCCAGCGAAAGGGAACGACTGAGTGTGGGCGAATGCTCTGCAGTGGCTAAAGGAGGGTTCAAGATTATATTCCCATTCCCATTCATGTTCTATGCAAACCTTTGTTACACTCCTTGTTTATGCGCCGCACATCTATGGGACAGTAGCCTGGATGTAGCAGTGCGAAAGTGGAGGCCTCCGGCCCTATGCCCCTGGCTTTCTCCCATTCGTAGAGCTTGCGCGTAAACTTCCTCGAGATGCCTTCAAATTTCATCACCTCGCCGTCGGAGGTCTTCACCTCGATCTTCTTGCATGCGTGGTCGGGTGCCACGATGGCCTTGAGGCGCGACAATCTGTGGGATGAGAGTTCAACATCAGTTTGACTGCAGGGAAAGCAACTCAAATATTTCAAACGAACTTCTCCTTGTCCTTCTGCTTGTACCAGCGATCGTCGTCCGATCCGCGACGTGTGGACGTGGACTGGCTGTGCTTGGAGCCGCGCTTGAGCGAATCGTTGTCCGAATTAATGCCACCACCAGGTGTGCACTTCAAGCGGTTCCATTGCTCTGAAGGGAAACGTATGTCACATATTTAATGGATGGATCGGTTTCGGATTACTCACCCAACTTCTTCTGAAACTTTTCGGGCAAATCCTTTTGGTCGGGTAGAGCACTGAGGCCTTGTCCCTCGAGCTTCATCTGGCCCATGCTCCACAGATTCCAGTCGATTTTGGGCTTCACATCGCCACTCTGGCTCCTGGCCGTTGGACTGGCTGCCAAGGGTTCCGTGGTGGTGGCATAGGGGCTGACACAGGTCTGCTGCTTGGCCCGCCATTTGTGCAGCTTCTTCTTGAACTGCGGCGTTAGATTCTGCTCCAGCTGCTCGGTGGACATGAGATCACTGTGCAACAGCTGGGTGGGTGAATGCTCATCGCTGCTCCGCTTGCCACTGCCGCCGCCAGCGCCACCGCCACTGCACAGCTTGACACCTGAAATGGGGGGAAAGCGCATGAGTATCCGTTTCGGTTTGGTATGTATGCGTATCCGAATCCTACTACGATTACTGGCGCTAGAGCGCTCGAACTCGCGTTGCTTTCGCTTAAAATCCGAATCTAGTTTGAGTACGAGAAGTTGATAATGTTGAAATACCTCCCCGTCTTCGGTACCTGGGAAATTCTTACGATTTGGCGTTGTCGGCTCTGAGAAGTCGCCGCTGGACAGATCCTCGCTCTCTGCAAAAGAAACGCCAAGGATTAGTTTTACGTTCCAGCAGGGCAGCGTAGCTTTTCGTACCAAATTCACCAAAGAAGTCCGAGTGTCTGGATGGACTGCTGGGCACCGATGAGTTGCCGGGCGAGTGGACACGCCGCATGCGTGGCATGGTCTGACTGCTCGCCATATCCTTTGGACTCTTGAGCGGCGAATGCAGCTGCGGCAGATCGCTGCAGACCTGATTTAGGTTCAACGGACTCGGCGGCAACTTCTGTCGTCGACTGCTGGTGGACTTGATATCAGCCACATGATCCTCAGGCAGCACCTCAAAGTCTGAAAATGCCTTGGAGCGACGCAGCGACTTGCTGGATGAAGATTTGGTGGGCAGTGCGCCAGCGGCCTTAATACTATCCAGTCGCTCATCGGTGGACGACTTGCGGAGCTCCACACCAAAGTTGGCGGCCCGCGAGTCCCCGCGTGTGTCGCTCTTCGATGAGTCGCGGCCTGCAAGAGGGGGGGAGTCTTTTATGAGCAGTCTTCAAGGGATAATGTTCAAGGGAATTACGAATGTTTTGACGTGAGCCAGCCTCGAGATCATCCATGGAACTGGCCGAACTAATGGTGCCGGGGGTGCCTCCCGTATCGCTCATAAAGTGCCCAGAAGAGGAGCTTATAATGCTGTCCGCCGAGCTGCTGCCACCTGCTTGGCTAATTGGAACCTTGAGGTATCTGCAAAGGAAATAAAAACTTAAATCGAATCTGTGTGGATATACGTGCACAACCTACCTCTCCACCTCGTTGTTCAGCGGCACAAGGATGCTTGTTTCTGGTGCTCCTGTCGATCCAGAGGAGGGTGGCACATTAGCGCGCTCCCATTTGAATG